GGATCCCTTTTTCCCGTTACACAGCACGTCAAAACACCGACCGAGGCGACGCCCGCTTTCCCGACCGATAAATTAAAACCGCGCGTCTGATTGTGACGCGAAGCATAAGCGGATTGTCGGAATCCCGTCCGACAATCCGGAGTCCAGAACCGGGAAGAACCGGGGAAAGCGAGGCGCACCGTTACATCGTCAACATCGATGGGAAAATCTGTCTCTTTTTCATTTTCCAGCGACTCTTCAATGAGATTAACGAGTGGTAATATTGTACTTGCGGTAACATATTGCTCGCTGGACATTAATAGACAAATTTCTTGTATTGGTTTTAGAATTCTAACAACAGTTTTCAATATGTCATACTCTTCTGCATTTAATCTAAGTTCAGAATATTTTCCTTGATTGTAAGTTAGAAGAAACTGCGTAATTCCTGCATCTTGTGATACAACAGCTTCTATTAGATTCAGAGTGGACCACCATCCAGTTGGTGTGGCTGCGGGAATCATTTTTGCTTTCTTATTTGAACCCTACAAAACGTTATCATTACTTGAAGCAATTACAGAAGTATTTTGAATAAACAGAATAATAATTTAAATGGAACAACAAAATAATTACAGTGAAGAAAAAGATGTTATTTCTGCTTTTTTAATGATTTTATTAGCTTCCAGTTTAGAATAAATAATAAATAAATATACAAAAAATAATTTAATACATGAAAATAATTTCATGTAAAAATGAGTACCTGCATAATTTCTCTAAAACATCTACGAGCTTTTGTAGACAGAAACATTGTAGACTGAATTTTACGTGCTTTTGCCAAAGCTGGCGTTATTGAATCATCTTTTAGCAAGTTTTCTACACCAATCTGTGTGGTGTGAGCAAAACAAGCTATATGTGGCACGCTCATAAGTGAAATTGCTAGAACTATATTCGAGCCATTATCTGTGGAAAATGCTGCAACAGACGATCGAGAAATATTCCATTCTTCTAATGCGTTTAATAGACTGTCTTTTAGATTTAGAGCCGTATGATCGACATCTAATAAAGAACAATTCAGACAGGCGCTCATTAATTTCCAATCTTCTGTTATAAAATGTGCAGTAAGTGAAAAATAAGGATTTTTTGCTTCAGAAGTCCAGCAATCAGTTGTAAAAGATATGTCTGTTGCGTTTTTCATAATTGTTGTAATAGTCTCTTTGGTCTGCGCATATAACATTGGTATATATTTATCTCTCATAGCATTTCTATGAGGACATTTAAAGTTAGGAGCTATAGTTTTTAATAATATTTGAAATCCCTCAGAATCAACCACGCTATACGGTTGCATGGAGGTAGCAATAAAGTACGCTACAGCTTTCGAATATTTTTCATGAGTGCGCTTGTCTACAGCACGAAATTGGAGACAAGTCTGGCGAGTTCTAGAATGGGGTGTTTTTATATTATTATCCTTTTCAGTAGTTTGTAAAAACCCACTCTCGCTGAAAATAAATTACGTCTTGTAGCTTAATAAAATTATAAATACATGTTAGTTGTATTATGACAATCATTTTCTATATTTAATTTATTTTAATAAAAACCAAACGTATATGGAATCTGTAGAGATAGTTCTATTTAATGCATAACAGAAGTACATATATAAAAATTAAGATTGTGTAATATAAAATAATTTTTAATCTTTTGTAAAATTAAAATGCCTATATAAAAAATTACATAATAGTCCAAACACATAAACAACAAATAATTCTCCTAATTTTAATAATTCCAAAATTTCTTATTTTATTAAATTTATATATATTTTCAAAAAATAATAATTTTAATCCGCTAGTAAATTATAGATCAAAAATAATTATTTACTTTCTTGACAAACTGGTAATAATACAAACGAACGTTCAAGACGTTTCGACCCTTGGTTTGGGCCCTTATATGATTTTAAAATCGATACTGTAGACCATGTTGATTTTAATATGTGAATTTTCAATTTTGTGTTTTAAGACCGACAGACCAAGTCGACGCACAGTATAAATTGAAAATTTTTCACACGAATAATTATTAAAGCTACCGACATCTTGCTTGGCCTGTATTGAAGCGGGAAGCCTGGAGCAAGCCTTTTACCCAAGAAAATCGCGAAAAATTAACTTTCTTGGTACAAAGTGCAAGAGTAAAGTGGCCCTTAGGATTGAGATCGGACCGTGATCATTCTGTTCCCGGTTGTTCTAGTCGAGAGAACGATAAATATGAAGCGGCAAGCCTGGAACAAGTCTTTCACCCGAGAAAATCGCGAAAAATCACCTTTTTTGGTACAAAGTGCAAGAGTAAAATGGCCCTTAGGATTGAGATCGGACCGTAATCATTTTGTTCCCGGTTGTTCTAGTCGAGAGAACGATAAATATGAAGCGGCAAGCCTGGAGCAAGTCTTTTACCCGAGAAAATCTCGAAAAATCAACTTTTTTGGTACAAAGTGCAAGAGTAAAGTGGCCCTTAGGATTGAGATCAGACTGTAATCATTTTGCTCCCGGTTGTTCTAGTCGAGAGAACGACAAATGTGAAGCGGC